AATCACAGCAGCCGTGCGTGAGGGCAGCCGCTCTTACCTAGAAGCAGACAACAATTGCTAAATTTCACAAGACTGCTACATCCTGTATTTATTTCGAATGAAAAGGAATTACCTCAGTAAAACTATGTAGAAGACATTGGCACAAAACTCATTTTAAAGGCGTTGTAGTGGTGTTATTAAACCTAAATTATTGAACACGCATTTTTAATAAGGAGTATTCCAGCATGATTTATATGCCTTTTTAGTTGCTCTTTGTAAAGTTCTTTGGCATTTCACACAGTGGATGTCAATCTAATGACAAGTGTAACTTTTACCAAAGACGTGGAAAGAATTGATATCTCTGGTATGTAGTACCTCATCTTGAAAGAGAGGTTGAGAGAGACATTTTTAGAATCACTAGTGGCTTTCTAAGAATAATTAGCCTACTGTGACTTAGGGGGTGTTTTCAAGTCCCAGAAAGTTTCCTTTCACATGTAAAATTCATGTATTATCTGCAGGAAATAATTATTTCTGAAAAGCCAAACTAATTGCTTTTTAATTGGATTTTCATTCTCTCTGCCATTAATGAGCGAGTCAGAAAAATTATAAAAGGATTCTAGATGTTCAGATATTGTTCACAGCTTAATAATATATGCATTAGACCTGTGTGGATAAGATTATTTTTTATTTGTGTTTTACAGCAGTATTTCAAAACCTGTGTTGAATCTTACCTTTATAAGGTTAATTTTAAATCTGTACAAGTTTGGGGTTGGTTTTTGCTTAGAAGGATTTTTGGTTTTGTAAAAGTAAGATGATTTCAGAGGTACATGCACTTTTTTCCACTAACAATTGTAATTACTTACATCTTTTAATCCCTCCATTATACAAACAGAGAAAACATTTCCGAAAGGGAGAGAAAGTGAAACTGAAAACTCACAAATTGCTGAGTTTTTCAATTTTTAAAAATTGAAGTTTCTATTCAATTTCAGTAATTTTAGGTATTTTTAATTATGCGGCACAATGTGAGTATTCAGGCAGATTAGTTTTATTTCTTTATTTGTTGTGATGATTGTATCACTTCCTTTAATATTCAAAGATGCTGATTTCATGTTTACTCACGAAAGAAGTGCATAGTGGCTGATTGCCAAATTTATTTTTAGTTCTGTGTGTAAGTCTCAATGTCTGGCTGTATTATCTCTGTAGACAAATGAAAGAAAAACTTTGTCTTCAACCTCTCTCTTTCAAATCCTCTTAGCTTTTCAAAAGCTAAAATACTTAGTTTTGCCTCCTGGTGACTTGAGATGGGGAGGATGCTTCTTGTCACTGCAGAGGCAGAAGTGGATAAACTTAGAGTCTTTCTGAATTTAGGTCTGCGTTTACAATGCTGCCTGATTGTTCCCCTCTTCCCTGAGTGAAGATTCACCTAATACAAATACTGCACGTTTAAAGCAAATAGTAATTAGGAGGACAAAGACCTCCCCAGCAGTGAATGTACAGAACTTTTTTATCCTAAACTCCTAAGTAAATTTACAAATCCTATCACACAGCCATTAACTGTATTTACTTGTAAAACTTACTCTGTCTTGGAAGTAAACTTCCACTGTCTTTTTTAGGTGAAAATGGAGTGTAAATTGCTTTCAAATGCTACATTAAAAAAAAAAAAAAACAACCACCAAAAAAACCCCCACCACTCTATAAATATATGTGTATGCACTAAAGAAGAATGACTAAGATTGTTGTATGTGTAGCTTATATAGCTTAATCTTCACACAGTTTATAATAATGAGTAGCTGTGCAAAGAGTGTTGCTTTCTCCCTGGGTCATAATAAGAAGAATAGGGGCTATAAATTCATTCCTCAGGCATCTGAATTGAAAGTGATTCTTTCTGGCACTGAGACCCCTCTGCTGTGTGACAGGTAGGGACTTCAGTGTGAGCCAAAGTTAGCTACAACTATTTCAGGGCTGCTGTACTGCTCCAGCGGTATGCTCCTAGAATAGCACGAAGGGTTGCATGCAGCAGGAGTGCCCTGTCAACCACACAGCATTGCTGGTGCATTCCTAGAGGCTGAAAATATTTATTTTTAGCATGTCCCTCCTTGAATGGTGAGTTTCAGCATTCGTAATATGCCTGAAGCATTGTTGTCCATCCTTTTGTCTCCAAAATCACTTTGCTAATTTGTCCTCTTCTTATACGTGCTAATGGCTGTAGTGACGCGAGTCTTTATTTGAAAATACATGAGCAGTGAGTAATATAATGTGACCAGTAGAAGTGGATCACTCCTATCTGTGATAAAGCAGAGAATGATAGTACCCTTTTATGAGCATTTACTCCTGTAAAAGCTGACAGCTTCTAAAATTAGGCATGAAATACCATCTTGGAAAATTCTTCTTTTTAGGGCTTGCCCTTTCCAGTTTACCTTAATCTTTGAGATTAGAAGCACGTCCCTTTATTGGTTACATGAATAAACCATTGGACTTGCTTCAGAGGTAACACCTAATTTAAAGGCGAGATTGAATCAGTTGTTGAAAATAGTCTATTTGGAGCAGCTCAAATAGCTTCACATATCTTGGTGTCTCACTGAATTGATTTCTACCCCCTCCCGTTGGTTCATCTTGGAGGGAGAGGTAATCATTATTTTAGCAAAGATAGGAGTGAAAACTCTTAAATTGCAAATGTCACCTTGACATGCATCTTTTTTTGTTGAGTTTTCATTTAATGGCATGTTATTTAATCTTAACTGATGATGATAAAAGCCCTACTGAAGTCAGTTTCAGAGGGTTGTTTAAAAAAAAAAAAGCCCCTTGTTCAGAAAGAAGCAGGAAAATTAGTGGCATCCTTTGATCATCAGGAAAGGACTGGCCAACAGCAGTAAGTTGCTGGAAACATAGGAGGGCCAGGTGCTCACTTCATGTGAATTGCCAGCAACAACTGAAGTTGATGGATGGCATTTTAGAGAGGAGTCTCTCTGGAACTCCTCCTCACCAGCCTCAGCAGTTCTCCTGTCCATCAGATATTTTATTTGTTCATAGTGTTCCGCTAAATATTTAAAATGAAAATCTTTTGTATTCTACTGCAGTGAGTTCTGATGAGCGCTTTGTCAGTAAAGATACAGTTGTGGCAGTAGTTGGAAACAGTGATTTCATCTGTGTAAAAATGCCTTCAGGCTTTTGTTCTGAATTTTCCCATCTGCTGGGAACTGTGATACACTGAATTTTATCTGGAATATATGTACAGGTTTTGGTGAAGCCTTCGGAGGTACATGTGGTTTCATTTGAAATTTCTCACATTTCCTTAGCAATGATTAAACTAAAATTAAATGTGATTATTTTGTTTTCAACATGCCATGTGGATATACGTTTCACATTACAGGCAATGCTCAGAATAAATGTGTTGCGCAGGTTCATATTACTGTTGGGGTTCATGTGTTACAAAAATAGATCCTGTTGATCGTGTCCTTTATAAAGTATGGTAGGTCTATTTTCTTTAAAAGCACAGAGGTTGTAAATATGCAACAAAATTATAAGAATGTCATTCTTCATTTACTACTACTTTGTACTAATTAGACCAGAAGCTGCAAATAATGATGCTAAAACCAAAGCAATGAAAAGCAGCTAACCAGAACTTTATGACAAGCAGTAAACTGCATTCACACCCACGTGTTTTGCTTGACTGGCAAAATAAGACGCACTGGATCCTAAATTAGAGCATGCAGGCAGATACATGCATCAAAACAAGAAGATATGGGAACTGTGTTAAGCAATTGTAGTCTGTGTTTGTGTACATGGAATTTAGCTTTTAAGTTCACCCAGTGCTGTGGCAGTAACAGAAAGACATATGAAAGCATGTACTATTTGGATACTTGGTGTTTTGGGAGCTGATTTCCTGAAAGCCAGCGGGTAGTTCAGTTGTCTTGCTGAATGGGTTTGGGGGTTCTGCAGCATTAGGGCTCCTGGTTCTAGCTGCTAGGTAATGCCTGAAAATGCCCTGAGTGCTATGAAAGTTTCTGTTGTGGCTTATGTTACCACCCTGATGAGGTGCAGTGGTCGTTGAGACAACCTGGAAAGACTAAGCAACTAATGCTTAGTCCACTTTTGCTGGATACAGAGTTGCTTTGGTGAATTCATGCTGTGTGTGCAAGTGTTGAGTGGTCAGCTTTTTGCTGTTTTCACAAGGCTTAGTGAGAAACAATGTCTTCAACTATTCAAAGTTTACTCTTTTGACTTGAATCTGGTGTGTGGAGTGACTCCGTTGAGAAATGTTGTTAATGCCAATGTATTAATACTAAAACCAAAATACCGTGACTTTTAAAATATCTTTGGCCTTCTGTTTGTCATTAAATTTATGTTTTCACAAGCAAAGACTGCTGCATCAACTGATTTAAAGGAATTCTCTGTGATTTCAGCGGTATGAGACCACATCTTCAGGGAGTTTTACATATTTATTTGATAGTAACATAGCTCTCTGTTATCCAAAACAATGTTATGTTTAGGCGGGGGTCTCACTAAGTCACCACCCTACCATGAGTTTCTTTCTTCTCTGTCCACTGTTCTCTAGTGTCTGAAATTTTGAATTTTTAAAAAGGAGAAATTTTTAGAAATTATAATTTTAGATTGGAAGTCTGGGTTTAGTTCTGTTCATTCTCCTTCCTAGCTCAGTCTTCACTGCTTTCATATGTGATGGACCATGCAGTTCTTGTGTTTTCACAATGCCAGTCTTCCCTTGCAGAGAATGGTATTGGTTTTGTAGCATTTTCGTAAACTCCCTTGTATGTAGAATTGGTGGATAAGATACGTAAAAATGATACTGTCATACCTTTTGTATTGATAGGTTTTCCAGAGTTGTTAAGCAATCAAGCAGGTGATGGCCATTACTGACCCTGACCTGGGCAATTGGTGCAGCTTGCTTGTAAAGTTTTACCCATTGGGCACCATGGAAACAATCGTCTCTGATTCTTGTTAACAGCAGTTGTGGAGAGTTATGACAATAACAGCATTTCAGATTTCTTTTTCTCTTGTCTTAGGTTTTCTACCCTAGCAAAGATGGTACTAAGATCCCAATGTTTATTATTCACAAGAAAGGAGTTAAATTGGATGGTTCCCATCCTGCCTTCTTGTATGGATATGGAGGCTTCAACATATCAATTACACCAAGCTACAGGTAAGCAGGATAATTTATACCTTCTTCTGAAGTATCTGGTATTAACAACTGTCACAAATTGAGGGCAGGGTGGACTATGGATCTGACAGAGACGTTTCGGGTCCCTGAGACGCAAGATGGGGGCCATAAGGACTGCACATCACTGACCAGGCATCATTTGTCTGCTTTGTTAGTTCTGAATTCAAGGGTTTTGCCCAGGGTCACAAAAGAAATCTATGTCGGAGCAGAGAAGCGCTGTGCTCTTCTGAGGTTTACAGCAGGCACCCTGCCCTTTGGATTACACCTTAACCTCTTCCTGCTTTGTCACTGAGCTCAACAGAAAAGCATATGGACATACACATTAAGCAAGTATTTGAGCCCTCTGCTGAACTAGTAACATAGGAAGTTTTCTTTTTTTCCAAGCTATACAATTACCTATGTCTAAATATTATAGAAAATCGAATATTTGTTTCATGTAAATAATTGAAATTTAGCTGTATTTTCATATTATACTTTTGAGGAGATTACGTCGGAAGCAAAATCCTACTGTGTTCCCATATAATCAGGAAAGAGGAAAGATGATTGTCTTGAGATGCACGTGATAGGGGCTCTGCATAAGCAAAGCAATGCATTGTAAACCAAAAATGCTGTGTGCAGAACAGGATTTGTAGCCCTCAAAAGCCATAAGCTTTATTGAATAGATGATCTCTTTAAAGAAAAGGCTGATTTCCTCAGCAAGGGAATTTGAATAGACTTACCAAGAGGCAGTGATTGTCTGTAATACGTAAGAAATGCTCCTGGGTGAGGCAGGGGAAAACAGAAATGAAAGGACTGAATGGAGAGCAGTTTTTCAGATAGTGGAAAACTGCTCACCAACTCAAAAATAATTTATTACAAAACCATCCTATTAAGTTTAGGTGCTATCAGGTTTGCTTTAGAGTCAGCACACTTCGAGAAATCCTTTGTAGCGTTCTACAACTACCTGAAAGGAGGTTGTAGCGAGGTGGGGGTTGGTCTCTTCTCCCAAGTAACCAGCGATAGGACGAGAGGAAATGGCCTCAAGTTGCGCCAGGGGAGGTTTAGACTGGACATTAGGAAAAACTTCTTTACTGAAAGAGTGGTCAGGCCTTGGAACAGGCTGCCCAGGGAAGTGGTGGAGTCACCATCCCTGGAAGTATTTAAAAGATGTGTAGATGAGGCGCTTAGGGACATGGTTTAGTGGGCATGGTGGTGTTGGGTTAACGGTTGGACTTGATGATCTTAGAGGTCTTTTCCTATGATTCTATGATTCTATGATTCTCTTCCAGGTCACTGTGATTGTATTTCTAAATAGCATTTACAGTTTCTCGTCCTTTCTAGCAAATACCTTGTCTAACAATGGACCTCTCATCTTGTGTTCTATGATTATTTGAATGTTTTTTATCTGCCTTGTAAAGCTACATTTTTAATTTCCTGTGGTTTTGAGAGACACAATTATATAACCAGAATAGTTCTTAAATTCCTTTTTAGATTAGGCTCAAGCACTGATTTATTACAGTTTATTGTATATGCTGAAAACTGTGATAAAACTTATCATATTTTCTTTTTTAAAGTAAATATTATGTATCTATTGATTTAAGATAAAATTTCACGTACTGCAGAGCTGACACAAGCTGACTGCTGGCAAAAGGAGAAGGTATCTCATGGTGCCTCCTTCCACTTCCCATTCATTGGCCCTGGTGCTTGCTGGAACCTTTGCTAAGCTGATTTACCTCACAAGAATGGCAGAAAACTATCCCAACAAAAAGGGGTAGGTGGTTTTCTGCCTTTTGGCAAGTTAAAAATCGACTCTCGTGGGAGTCCAGCAAACAGCAGCAGAAGGGTGCAGCTGACAGTCGGAAGAGAGGAAGATGGGAGGTCGGAGCAGTGACCTATGTCTTCCTGAACGCTGTGAAACCTTTATTATATAGTTCATAAAATAAGAATATGAATCTGTAACAGTCCCTTAAAAGTAAATGCACAGAGAACTATCAGTCATCTCCAGATCAAAATACATTATCCCACTGACAACGTAAATAAAACACGATTGGCCACACCTCCCTCCTCCTTCTCTCCCTGTAATATCAACATATCCCTTCTCAGCCTTTCTAAAAGAAAAATAAGAAAAGCCAAAGCCTTCAAATTCATCTTTATGGTTAATAACCTGAAAATTGAGTACTCGGTGAGGAAGTGTGTTCCAAAAGTAGGCAGGTAACATCAGGGAAAGGGAATTGTAATAGAGAATTTATGCCAGAAAGACAGGACATCTAGCTCCCCCTTTACTTGGCAGATTCAAGTAAAATTTGACTACATCGCTGTTACTATGTACTGCAATATTCCACAAGTAGTTCCCAGGTCCAAGCGCTGCTCCAGCCACAGCCCAACACCACGATTCAGCCATTTTTTGTGGAAGACCACAGGCGCGAAGTGCTAGAAAGCAGCCACAGGATGGTCAAGGCTGAGGCTTGCCACATAGTTCACCTGATCCTGGGCCGAGATATGGCTATGGAAATGCAACCAAGTAGTAGCCTACTTACCTTTAAAACAAACAAACAAACAAACAAGTTCCTGGATAAATATTCCTGATTTTTGTATTTGAACTTAAGGCTCTTATAACTTTTCACAAAGCACTCCACCTTCTCCTTTCCAGTGGTTCGTTTCTGTCCTGTGTTTCTTCAAGCCAGTACAATGTTTTCTCACTGGTATTTCGCACCTGTTAACATGAGACAACTCTCTGGCTTGGGGAGCTTATTTCTGCTTAATTCAGAAACTGATGTTGCTTTTCATTTATTCTCTAACGCAAAAAATGAAAATAAAATCTTTTTCACCAAAAGCAATAGAAACAAACCAACAGGTTAGAGGATCCAGAAATAACTATGAGAATCATAGGCCGCAATCATTAAGTCAGTTACAGTAGTGGTTTATTTTTGAATGCAAGCATGCATCTTTTATATGCTCCTCTGGACTGAAGAGCTGCATTTGGTAGCATTTTGAGTATGGTGCCCGCTAGAACACTGTCATTAATTATACAGCCTGCATAGCGAGTGCAAGTTAAGGCTGATGGAACAGACATCAGTGGCTTGGCAGAGCTGCTGGGGAAGCGTCATCACAAACCTACCACTAATGCCTCAGGTTCGGCTAATTACCCTGCAGGAATCAGCGTGTTTCCCTTCACTGTTCTATATGTGCCTGTGTGGGTACAAGAGAAGCAATTTCTACAGTGTCCTGGAATACAGCTGATTGTGCCAGGTTGTGCCAAGCCTTTAAGCAAAGAGGTGGTGCAGGGAGAGACTGTAAGCCCACAGAAAGGTCAGGCAACACGGCAGCCTCGGGTGCAGCATGCAAGATTACTCTTTTTGGTTACTTTGTTACCACGCCCTCCAGCGCCACAAAAGCCAAGCAAGCAACCAAGTTCAGTGACTCAGGATTTTTTCCCCATCACCAGTGCACTAGCCTGCATTTCTCTGTCAGCTGTAATACCTGACAGCAGATCAGTAATTCTGGGAAAGCATTCTTGCTCCTTGAAGCACAGCTCCTCACCGTTGTTCTATACTGTAAAAAACAATACCTGTTTTCTTATTTTTTGTGTTATGCTCCTTAAGAGTGATAGGGTCTGGAAGGAGCTCTCCAGGGAAGGGACTATCTTCTGCTCCCTCCACTGGCTCCTTCCTGACCCTGTTGCCTTTTCCTTTACTCTTTTTCTTTATCCTGCTCCCAGGAGAGAAGGAAAAACAGGGATAATGAGCAAAAGGCTGTAGAGGCTGTTGGGAAGAGCAGGGAGCCAGACTTTCCTCTGCAGAATGAGACATTTTGTAGGCATCCAGGGCGACTGGGCAGTTTGCTGTGACTCAGACACGAAGTTGACTTGAAATCAAATCTGAAAGCAAGAACCCACCTGGAGGAACACAGGAGGCAGTAGCAGGGTTGTGTATGAAACTCGAATTTTGTGCTGTCTGATCACTTGGAATTTTCACTTTTTTTTAAAAGTTAATGAGTCGTGATTATATACTTATAAAACCTCGTTCCTTGACCTTAAAAGTCACTTTGAGAAAGCTTATTATAAGCTTTAGGCCCATCTACCTCAAAGTATTGGTCAAATTAGGGTCCAGACTCACTTTACTGCTCACCATACCGGAGTGGATATTAATTAATAGTCATTGGCAGTGACATTACTAGATGTGTATGTTGGGGTATATGGGGTAATGTTTTCTGAAGTGTCTAAATCCCAGTGGTATTGCTGAGAGCGAGCACAGATATACTAAACCTTACTTATAATTTGAGCAATATAATGATTGTTACCAGACTCTGGACTTTATCCCATTGAGGGTCTGTGTGACAGAAAAATTGTTTGCTTGTGGAAATGAGGATTAGCTTCCTATAATAAGAGTACTGCATATCCTATGAGTTCCTAAGTCACTTAGACCCCTCCAAAAATTATCATCAAGGTACCATCTGTGTTAAAGGAGTCCGTGGACAGGATAGGATGCACTCAATTCTTTGGTTTTGTGTTGCTCACAGATTCTTTGCTAGTTAAATATGCTGATCCCTCAGACGGGCACAGTTTTTTTCAGCAGATGGAAGAGGATGGACTCTGTTCTGGAATTTTTTTTTAAATATTCTCAGGTAATGTATTTGGGTAGCAAGCTCTTACCTTACCTGCAATTCCTATATACTTGCTACCTTTGATTACTAGGAGATCAAGTAAGTTTGGACCAAAAAGTTTCTATTGATTTTGTTTGGGACAGAGTCAGGGAAAAGAAGTGCAGAATATTCTGGGAGATTTTGTGGCTCTAGCATACCGAAAATTAAGAAGCCACAATCTCATGAGGCAGCCTACTGTCAGGCTACTCCACAGTAGCTGTGTAGCAACCTGTCAAAATTAGGCATCCTGGAGTTTGACAGAATAATGCTCTTTGACCTTTGCACAGTGTGCTTATAGAATATCAATCCTGCATCTGATCAGCATGTCACAGCAATCTAAGGAAAATACAATTCATGGTGATGGACTTCAGAATTGATTTTACAGAAGCAGAGATAATTCATGCTTCCTGAGCCATCTGATGGCCACAGATAACCAGCCGAGGTGGAAAGTTTTTCCCGTGACGGGTGATGAAAATACAGAAATCTCTTACCAGTCATCCTCCTGCTTTTCTTTTTGTTTCCTTAATCCTTGGTTTATACTCTCAAGAACAAATGCCAGTACATAGATAATTGCTTTGGGAGGTACAAAAAATTTACCGGTTTTGATACTACATCCACATGAGACACACTGTAGGACTACTGCCTTTCAAGACATTTCTGATAAGAAGTAGGGGGACTTAAAGGTAAAAAGGCCCAATCCTTGCTCTTGTGGTTGAATAGGATTAATTTCTGCAGGCAGTGGTTTCTTGCATGAGCAAAGATTTCGAGTAAATAAGAAATTTAAACCTACTAGAGGAAAAAAGACGACTTGTTGGGATGAAATTTTAATATTTTACTGGTTTCCTTGGCATATGTGTGGTTTGCCATCTGGAGCTTCTGCTATATTAAGCTACTGCCTCAGCAGATCAGAGATCTATTTCTCTTCTTAATTGTCAAATATAATTTAAATTACTTCAGTCCCCTTTAAAAAGATAGCAGTAGCTTTGATACTTTTGCAATTTGACATTTAAAAAAAATTTATGCTACTTCAGCTTTCAGCCAGTTTCTAGAGATGCTAGGGAAGCAGAACTTGTAATTTTATTTTCTACTATTTGTTTTGTATTTAGCAATGCAAGTGGAAAATAAATAAGAAGGGGATTGGCCAGAATTTGACTGCAGACCCTGGCACAAAACAATGGTAGAAGCAGAGTTTTTCTTTGCAAACACAGTTTTATAAAGGTCCAGAAAAAACTACATTAAGCAGAAGTTGAAAATACCTGCTCATAAACAAAGATGAAGTGCTAATCTTAAGTCTTAATTCTTTGTTTTCTTCATTTGGGCTAAGCCTTCCTTTCCTCTCTGAAAAAGCAGAGGACCCACGGAAGAGGAACAGTTCAGAAAGCTATGGGGATCCAGTGGTGCTGCATAGCTCTGGTCCCCACACTGAAGGCTTAGAAGATGATAAAAAAAAAAAAATGGTGACATGTCCTGGGAGGTCTTCTGTTAGGCAGAACCACTGGCCACTCTCCTCCGCAGTGCTGAACTAAAGGAGGAAGAATGGACCAGCACGGGTTCCTTCCTATCCCGAGGCTGCAGAGGGTTTTATTTCCATGGATAACCATTGAAAAAAGCCTGGGTACTCATGTTTGCCATCAAAGGGGGACTTCATTCACGATTTCATCATTGATTTTGGGAGAGATCTTTCCCTCAAAGTATTTTTGTAAAAGTGGTAGGGATATAAAAACTGGAAATTAAAAATAATCCTCTATCTGTTTGCTTTTTCAGTGTGTCAAGACTTATTTTTGTGCGACATCTAGGGGGTGTTCTAGCGGTGGCGAACATCAGGGGTGGTGGTGAATATGGAGAGACCTGGCACAAAGGTAAATCAGTCAAAGTAGAGGAACAAAACTGCAGGCTTAGCAATGAAAATGACAACATTTTCTCTTCACTCCCCCTTCCATACTTACATCTCCTTTTGCCTTTTACTTATTCTGTAGAAAAGTAAATTTTTTCCTTACTCATATGTTAGATCTGTAAGTTGTCTAGTGTTATCTGATGGTTTTCGTTAGATTGTTTTAATTTTTGCAACCTACTTAAAAATGGTTTTGCACAAACACAGTATTTTCCAAGAAAATTATTGCATTTTTTTTAAGCAAGATCAAGTTCCCTAGACGTAAGGATCTGAAAATGCAGCTATTTATGTTGAACTGATTTTCAAAAAAATGTCTATATTGCAGGAGACCTGTCTTGCTTTCACATACCTCTTTCATTATTTGCAGGTGCACATGGCCCCACAATTCTAGATCCTGTTGTCAGCAAGGCAAATGCACCAAAACAATGGTGTTTATGATGCAGCAATTTGCTATGGGAGTAGTTCATTATAACTTTTTATCAAACGACACGGTATTCCCAGATCATTACATCTTGGTTTTACTATTTCATCTGCGGTAACTTTTTGTCTGGGTCATTTCCTCACAATTGAGTTAAATATGTAATAGTTTCATAAATAGAAGCTATATATGCTTGCAGATACAGGATATTATTGCTAAAGATGAAGTATCCTTCATTAATTTTAATTTGCCAATTGATTTGTAATAGTTTTTAATAAAATTTATCTTAATATGATAATGCTGCTTTGGTCCACCTATTTCCTGCTTAATTTTGATCCAAGTCTTTTATTGCTGTTGCATAATAAGATATGTATCTGTTCTTTGTTAATTCCAGAAGCAATTACAGAAGTCTGTTTACTTAGATTTAATTGTATAGATAGGTTCTGACCTTACACCAGACCAGAACTTTGAGCAGAGAGTAAGATTTATTTCTCCTTTATTGCCACACAGTTGAAGACTTTTTCATTGTCCCAGTATATCTCTCTCCAATGGTCTTGTTAATGTGAGAATGATGTGTATTTGTTAAAAAAATATAAAAATTAAAAATTTACTGGTCCCACTTCTACAAAATCTGTATGACTAAATGTCAGAGTTGTCTTACCAAACTTTTGCAACATAGAAATGAAGCATCCAGTGTAAGCTGGGTGTCTAGGATTACTGGATGGACAATGGAGATAAAAAGACACCTCCAGATTGTAGCTCATCTCACTTATTTTAGGGTAGAATTAATTGTCCTGGACTATAGTGGGAACTTACGCAATTAGCTTAGAATAAACTAAGCCTTTAAACAAAGTAGAGGGAACTGGAGTTCCACTTCTGCATCCACTGAGCTCCTCTTACCTGGCTAGACCACAGCCTTTGCTACAGGAGTATGAGGATTTTCTTCCTAGTTCCCATTTCTTACTTGCATTTAATGCCTGAGAAAGAACATACCAGGTCTTAAGGTAGGATAACCTTCGAGGAGAAGCCAGTTTTAGTCTCTTCCCGAACAAGCATTTAAAGCGGGAAGATTATGAGATTTGGTCAGCTGTGAGTTCTCTAGGTTGATATTCTTCTGCTCAAATAGTTGAAAGATTGTAGGGCAAAACCATCCGTTTCCTTCCCTATCCGACCCTGCAAAATTTTTTGTTTTGAGAACTGGAAGTTTTACCAATTAAGTCCTCTGGACCAACATTTTCAGTCATGATTTATTCCTCATACATCCGATCATGTTTGGAATTCTGTTCAACAGGATGGCAGCACATTAAGCATTTCCATATTGATAGTTAATTAATAAAATTTCAAACCTAGATGCAATTCTGAAGTCCCTTTTTGACCATAGCTATATATCACCTGATTTGAAAACAATTAATAGGAAAAAAAAGTAAATTACCAGCCACATATTCTATGTCCAGGAAATTAGAAGTGCTTGTTTTATATAGCTTATTTTATAAGTTAAAGCTTTATTGCTTTAAGAAACTGTCACTGAGTTTAACGCTGTTAAAGTCCCATTAGATCAAACCTGAAGTGGATTGTATGTGGTCATTTTGTATGTATTTTGCAACGCAAAGCTTTTAGCTTTAGTTTTACTAGTTAGGAACATTACCTGGCACTCACTCCACAGTATAGGTATGTAGTATTCAGAGTTTCTGAAAGCATTAGAGTTATCAACAGAACCATCTTATACCATCTCTGTGTTGACAGAATCTTTCATTTTTGCTTTTTTTCTGAGCTGCATCAGTTATTAAAATGTTCATGAAACTGGAATTGTTCCCAGGTATTTTTGCACACATGTTTTTCTGACGAGATGGTATCAACTGGATTTTATGGCATCAACTGATTTTTTTTTTTTTGTGTGTGCTAGGTGGTATCTTGGCCAACAAACAAAATTGCTTTGATGACTTTCAGTGTGCTGCCAAATACCTCATCAAGGAAGGCTACACATCCCCAAAGAAGTTGACTATTAATGGAGGCTCAAACGGGGGTCTCTTAGTTGGTAAGAACTGCTTGTGTATTTCCTGGGTTTGGTGCTGGGTTTATCAAAGTAAGCAGACAAAAATTTATGAGATCCTCTTTTCAAAAGTTGCCAGAATGTCAATGCATTAATATATACCAGGTGTTAAATACATACAATTGTACTTCATTTGCGGTTTGCATAGGACATTGGGATTCTGCAGTCTCTAGCAAAGGCTGACTGTTAAAAGCCATACTTAGAATTACTGTCTTGTGTGGTAAAGCTAACCCTGTGGTAGAATCACACGGTAAGTAAGAACGCTTTAAAAAACATTTGTTTTTTGATTTTTCTTTCTTAAGGCTAACCATTAAAAAATAATTACTGAATAACCAGAAATCTGTTATGTAGCATGGAGAGACTTTGTGTGGTCTGTAGCGTAAGCCAGAATCCCATGTCCTGCAATCCTTCATCAGAGTTTTTCGTTCGCTCTTTCTGTAGTCATGCATTCTTGTTCTTAGGGGGCAAATGAAAACATGACAGTTCTGCATTTAAAGTCTTTGTACAGGGACACATAACAATTCAACCCTACTTTCATTGTGTAGTTAAAACATGACCACAAATAAAATCATGAATGTTTCTGGTGAGAAATGTAAAATACAAGTACAGCTACTTCAAAAAGTCATGAGCTTTTGAGGGACTATGTAAATGTAGCACTTTGTTACAAATGCATCTTGCTCACATATAATTCATTGCTGTGTTCTTAAATTCAAGGAAATTAATAGCCGCCTCTTAAACAGAAAAGCTTGTCACAAAAATGTCTCATAGTCTAAGCAGTATTTAAAGAGCTACAAAATTTATTTCTGATTAAATTCCTGTATCTGAAAGTAGTAGAAGAAAAAGGGAGGTGATTTTGTTCAATTTTTAAAGGAGAAGGAAGCATAAATGAATAAATTGGGGTTTGCTTGTATTTTTTTTGAACAGCATGAAAGTCATGTGACAGTATGACAGAGCTGAGCTCTGTCATGTGAGAAGAAAAAAAAAAAGTATTTTAGGTTCATAAACCACTGATTTATAGAAAATGAGCAGATTTGCTTGACCCACTCTTTGCTTGCTCTTCTTTTTATACTCCTCCCTATTTATCTGCTGCTGAATACTGTCTCTATTGATTTTATTTTATTTTTCAGTGAACTAGCATCCAGCATAAGAAACAGGATTTGGAGTTATACAGATCTTTGGTCTAAGCCATCTTGGCTATTCCTGCATTCTTATTTTTAAAAAGCAATTGTTTTAAAGATAAATAACAAGTACAAGTAAAGTTGTATTTTTGCTTTCTGCTTATATGCTTCTTGGTTACAGGTGGCAGGAGGTATTTGTGCATTGTAAATAAGAGCACCAATAGAAATGGATGAATATGGTAAAGGATTAAAGGGTTTGCACACTATTGGGAGTGCAAGCATTGCATAAGTCAGTTTTATGTGAGCGTAAATATATGTTTGGAAATGCAGTTAAACTTTCAACATGTTACATAGCTTCTGACAATACTATTTTATGGTTACATGGACTTCAGTTTCAGTCAAGATGAGATTCATCCTACCCAGCTTTAGTCATCAAAAAAACTGTGGCTGAACTTGTTCTGGCTGAACAAGTCGGCTGAGCTCCTTGTTTAGGTAAGGGGAAGCGAGTGACATCTGCAGAGTGTGTACCTCATTCCAGTAGGAGACAGGTGTGAGGAATCTAGACCTCCCTGCTCTAAAAAACCTGTTTTTAGAAACCTTCCCTTGCACTTGCAGATGTATTACAATCCAGCTGCATTTCCATGCTCTTGATGGGGCAGATAGGGATTTTCCTTGACTGGGTAGAATTAGGTGAATTTAGGAAATTCTTGTAAGTGCTTTTTCATCAAAGCAGAACTAAATTTTGCAATAGTTGTTCATGCAACACTAGAGAGCATAACTCATACTTTAGGTGCAAAGACCCACTGCCAGATTCTCTCAGTTCTAATTTATTGGAGAAAAAACTGACAAGCAAGAGTATTGTCACTCTTCCAAAATACTGTTTCCTTTTAGTCTGACTAACAGGAGGTGTCTCTGAGGAGTGCAGAGCCCTGAGCTCTTGCCTCATTCAACTGCAGAACAAGACTTCCTTGTCCTGCAGTGTGATCCCAAAGCTGAGTAGAGCAGCACAGCTGTGAGCTGAAAACCTCCTTCATGCAAACGCAGTGTTTGACCTCTCATGTTTGCTTAGACAAACAGTTCTGAGGTTTTGAAATCTTACTTTTGTACTGAATTTTAAAGCTCAAAGTAAAAGTCACAAATAAATTGTTATTCCAGGTTACAGTTTATTAATGCATATAATTATTATGGCTAATTAAAGGGGTGCAGTGGGAGTGGGTGAGTGTCTCCGTAAGTGATTTCTTATTGAAGTAACTATTTAGGGAAGTAGGAGCAGCCATTTTTTATAAAATCCTGAGCAACACCCAATGCTTCAAGAGACACTCTGCAATAAAGAGTACTAAAATTAAATGTTATGATAGTTGTTTTGGCTTTTTTTCCTATCAGAATATAATTTATGTTCATAAAAGAAAATAACATGAAGGGCAGGGATCTGATCAAAAGCTTCAGCTAAAAGGATAAAGAGCTTTTACATGGCGGCTATTTAAGGCACTATATATACCTTATGAAAATGGCTCAGAAATGAAGAAAATAGGGTAGAGCATAAACTCTGACAGGGACTGACGGACCACAGGAGACTGATGAGCAAATTGCTTCCGATATAAAGATTAGCAATGAAAGCTTCCTATGCACATCAGAAGCAGGAAGCTGGCCAGAGCATCTGTGGGACTTGCAGGTTAGTGAGGTGTAAAAGGAGCACTAAAGAAAGATAATTGCAGAGCAGAACAACTAAATGTCTATTTGTATTGATGTTCCCTCCTGAGGAGCATGGGGAGTTCCCTGCACCACAGTCTCTCTTCATGGGGAATACTCTGAGGAGCTGACTCAAGCTGAAGCATCAGCAGAGGAGGTTTTGGAACAAATCAATCAAATGAAAAGTAGTGTGCTGCCAGGACCAGATGGTGCACACACAAGATCCTAAGTGAACTCCAATATGAAATTGCAGGCTACTAAGCCTGAATATCTGAGGAACAGAAGGGGGCAAGTGTAATGCCAATTTTTAAGTGGTTCATGGTGATCTACAAGCTGCAGATGAGTAAATCTGACTTCTCTAATGGGCAAACCAACTGAAACTAATAAATAATAGTTGACATATAAGGAAGAATTTTGCAGGCTGAAGTTACATCTTGCAAATCTAATTGAGCTATTTGAAGAAGTCAGGCAGCGTATGGTGCTTGTAACAGTGATCAAGGTGAGGAGTTATTCTTGGATTTTCAAAAGCTTTTGACAAGGTCCCTCACATAAGGCTATGCAAGAAAGTTCTTGCTGAGCTTGGAAGCAAGGTCATGTCATAGCAATATCCTGGTTAACAGGAGGCAAAGAATGGGAATAAATGATCCATTTTCACAATGGACAAAAATTAGGAGATACAAGAATTTGGGAAAGAATATACCTACGTGTGGATGCACAGTGATTAGCACTGAATTAAGAAAGGGATTCTGGGATCCATTGTAGTATTTATGTGAAAATCTCAGTGCTCTTATTTCTTAAAATTCAAAAAAGCGGGGGAATTTGTAAAATCACCAGGCAACAGATGTAAAATCAAGCAACAGAAATGGGAATTGAAGAGCTTACTGCTACAGGATATGATGAACACTAGATGAATAAACATTAAGAGAGAAAATAGATGTATTTACGGAGGATATGTGTTTTGATGGCTGTTTAACAGGATTGCCGGAGATAACTCCAACTCAGGGAAAACTTAAACAAGTAGTTCAAAAGCTGATATGTACAGGAAATATGTCCCAGTATTTGCTTAACGCCTTTTCCCAGAGCATCTGCCAGTTGCCACTCTTATAAATTGAACACTGTGCTAGATGGGCCTACTGTGGTTATTTTTAAAATATATGAGGCAAGCATTATTCTTAAAGAAATTGTCCCTTCCAGTAGTAGGAAGATGGAAATAATAAAAAAAGAAAATACAACTGTAATTTGCTTTATTAAAATGAGGTTATTCCTCTGATTTTGTAGTAGTCTGCTTTTTGTCAAAACTCTTTTCATATGGGTTTACGTAGTAATTATGGAAGAAAACTTTCATCAATAAATGGAGGGCTTTTGCTCCTTAATGCCCTTTTCTTTGTTGATACTAATATTAAAAGTTTAGACAGTGAATTGTTTAGGAAACTTCAATTCAGTAGTCCAAAAGCTTACATATTTTAAAAACGCATTTCTCCTTTAAACCCAGTTTGCTAGTTTGGAAGGCAGTTTTCAAAGAACAGCATGTTTGGTGCCTGGAGAACAGGGAAATAGCTCTTAAGCTCTTTTGAACATACCATCTTTGGGAGTTACAATTTTTATCCACTTGTGTGTTCGCTTTCAGTTTTGCTTAAAAGTCTATTTGACTTCATATTCACTGGCAGTCTTCTCCCAGTGCAATTGGGTTTATATCAGGTATTTTATACTGAAGTTTTTTGGCTCCAGGAATTATATGGTAATCTATATTTCTTCTCACATTGTTTTAACTTAACAGTTTTACTTTTTTTTTTTTTTTTAAAAGAAACTTTGAGTTTATAAAAGACAGCTTTTTGGAAGTTGGTCTTTCATGAACTCAGCAGTGGACCTTTCACTGCTGAGCTTAATTCTTTAAGATATGAATACTAATACAGTTGTTTTCCTGTCGAAGCTGCCTGTGCTAATCAGCGCCCCGACCTATTTGGTTGTGCTATTGCCCAAGTGGGAGTGATGGACATGCTCAAGTTCCACAAGTACACCATTGGCCATGCTTGGACCACTGACTACGGTTGCTCTGACTGTAAAGAGCAGTTTGAATGGCTGTGCAAGTAAGTGCCTTTAAATACTTCTGTGGTTGTTAAAATGCATAGTCTGCTCAACAGTTTCAGGTTGTCGTGATCCAAATCTATTCTAAGAATTGTTTCTTCCTTTCCCAGGAAGGAAGCATTTCCTTACAAGTCAGTTTTGCTTGAAAGACTATCTTCAAAACCCTATTGAGTCAACTGCTCATATTTTCAAAGACCTTGTTCTACTAGCAGCTTTAACAACTCATAAGGTTTTCTTTCTGAATAAGGACTCCTTTAGGCTGTCACAACAGAATATTCTCAAGTGAACCACTACATAAATTGTATTTTTTACAGCGGGGGAGAGACAATCACCATTGTGAATTATATTTCACATGTGGATGGGATTTATTTGTAGGAATTGAATGGCAGTAGACCATAACAGGATATTAATTCATTTCTTAACTCCTTGCTGAGAGGTCTGGAAAGATTATTTAAAAAGAGACGAGAGGGACAGCTGTGTGAGAACAGAAATGATCTGTACATTGGATATGGCTAATAATGAGTGTGTTAGAATAAGTGCCATCATTTTAAAATATTTTTCTGGAACGTTGTCTTCTGTTACTATATTTGTATTCCTTTGATAATAAAGATTGACATTCCAGGAGAATGCTTCAATACACTAAACAATTTGGCTGGTCTGAAATTTAATAGAGTGTTTAGATGTTAAAAAGTACATGTGCTACAAGTATACTGAGATCTAACTTGATCTAAAGCATTTATTTAAAAAAAAAAAAAGAAAATCAATGTCAGGTCCAAATACTAGATGATCACTTGGGCCCATTGTAACTAGGTTGTTTCAAAACCTCTAGTTGTCTGATTTAAGCTTTCAGTGGCAAACACGTTTTTGTAAATATAGTGCACAAAACAATTAACAAATTTCATAATTCATCTTTTATCAATAGATAACTTAGATCTTAGATAATAGATAAAAGATTAACTGTTATAAAAATGATCCAAATAATCATAATGATTTTGGACACTGAAACTTGCCTGCACATCTGTGAATTCAGATATTCTGAAGAGGTAAAGTAGAAGCAAAGTTTTTAATTCATTTTGTGATTAGGAGAAAAGCATCTGTAGGAAGGAGTCACTCCATACCTGCTTACACATATGCTTACTCACAAAATCTCAATGCATAGTTTTAGAAACATCTTATATGGCAATACCTATAATATTTCTTTGCCTCCTTTTCAACAGCTGGCAATTGCGTATCAAATGTAGGAAGATATATATGTAATGTTGCTTAGATGTTGCCTTTACATACCCAAAAAATACATAAGGCAACTACAGTGGCATGTAGTGACAATCATTTAACTTCTTTTCAAAACAAATCATAGTCTGCAAATCCACTTACATTGTTCCTTAGATGAACATGAGGAAGCCAGGAAATCTGTTAGGTTAGACATTCAGATATTGTCACATGTTCTTAAAAATAATTTGGACTTACTTAATGGGTACTCCTCCAAGTGGGAAATTCATTCAAAAATAAAGCAAAATTTCCTTCTGTATTTCCTGTCATGAAATAGGGGGGGGAAATAGTATCCTACTCTTGATTTAAGGAATGTAACATTCTTCCTAGGTGTAGCTTTGGCTAAATGAAGTATGAAATGGTTAGATGGAATTCTTTGTGACTTACTATTACATTTAATTTCTAATACTGAAGAGTACTTTGTGTTGAGATATGTAGATACACCTTTTATGTTATGTTACGTTACAGTAGCTAAAAGATGTAAATTCTCATGCAAAGAAAGCAAATTTTGAAAGTTAGATTATTCATTGCTCAAAAAATAGGAATCAAGGTATCTATCAAAAGCAGGAAGACCTACAGTTCTCCTTTCAGTTTCCTGCATGGTGTTCCCTCAGAGTTCAAAGGTGGCCTAAATATTGGAGGGAGCAAATTTAATAACTGTACAGCACTTGTGGCTTACCATCAGAGACTGTTTTCCATATTTGCATGGGAAGAAGCCATCCACATGCATACCTGGACTACATACCTATCCTGGGAAAAAGTCTTGATTTCCCTGTTTCCCAGCAGGATGGATCCTGCTATGGACTTGACATCTTTTGCTGCAGTTTCCCTGTTGCCCGTTCCTGATATTTTTGGCATTTCTGTGAGATGTATGCATATATCTCTCTTCAGAGAGATATGCTTCACATTTGAGAGCCAGAGATCTGTGGCCAATACCACGTATCCGTTGCCAGTAGTGCAATTCTGATTTATGCAACTGAGAACTGTAGTATTCTGAGTGCTATCAAATGTCACGCTGACACTCTGACGATTTCAGTATGAGAGGACCTTCTTGTTGGGTCTTGAAGAAAAAATATGTAAACATTTGTGTGCTCTTCTCAGGTACTCTCCACTTCACAATATCAAACTACCAGAAGAAGATGGCATCCAGTATCCCTCTACACTGCTTCTCACGGCAGACCATGACGATCGTGTGGTCCCTCTACATTCACTGAAGTTTATCGCTACTCTGCAATATGTTGTGGGCCGAAGCCGTAAACAAACCAATCCACTTCTTATCCATGTTGACACCAAGGCTGGGCACGGAGCAGGAAAGCCAACTGCTAAAGTTATAGAAGAAGTGTCAGATATGTTTGCTTTTATAGCACGATGCCTAAATCTTGATTGGATTGAATAGGCAAAATGCTTATTACTGTCTACTTTAGAAAACAAGGGCTTTAACACCATTTAAGACCAACCAGACTACTACTTGGTGTAGTACTTACATTTAAGGACTGCAGTTTAATATTTTATTGATCCAACCTGCTATGGAGTTTTGATCTTCTGTGCTTCCCTCTTTTTGGCATTTCTTTGAATTTCTTTTCTACTGCGATCCAAAGTACATTTTGAAAAGCATGTTCAAATAAATAGCTGAGCTACTGTCGGTACTGTTGTGAACATTTAGATTCCAGAGTTAGTGCTAGTTGAGCTTATTTCCTGTAAACAATTTTAATGTATTTTGCACCTATAAACATATCCAGATCATCTGTAATTAAATGTAAGTACTGTCCACATCCAAGAACTCTGAGCATACTTTATTTACACAGTAAACTTATTTAAGAATGTAAATTGAAGGTGTTCAGTGATAACCATGAAACACTGAAGAGACAGTAATCTGGGTAATTAAGTCAAATATTATTAAAAAGCTTATATTACCTGCTGTTCGTAAGTGTGTTACAGTCTATAATAATGATGTTGCTAAATTGTTCTTTCTTTTCAAAGAGTCTTCAAAATGTCACCAGTTTTCTCTTCTGTCATTTATTTCCACACAGTTTTCTCTTCTGTCATTTATTTCCACGCAGAAGAGAAAATTGGAGGCTGGAAAACTTGAAGAATTCTTAGATTCTGACTGTACTCTCAGTCCAGGTATACAGATACTTTCCAACAATCCGTCTGCTGTTAGCTCTTCAACTATTTCTGAAGGGTATACCAGACACTGGTTTAAAAAAAAAAAAAAAACAGCCCAAAACCACAGCTTTGTCCAGATTGTTCAAGTTCAGTTTTTCCTGATGCCTTTGACAGAATATTCTCTAACAAGCCAAAATCTGAACATACGTATATAACCTAGTTCTGGCTGCAGAACAACAAGAGCTCGTAGTCAGACTCCCTAATGATTTGACACAGGCACAGTATTTGAACTGCCATTTCATATCTTTCCCATCTGGGCTGTAGAGCTATAAAGTAGATGCAAGTATTTGCCTACCAGCTGTCTAAACTCTGATGCACTGCAGCAATTGGGGTTTGATTTTGCAAAGCAAAAAAGCATTCTACCAATTCTTACTAGTCTTGTTGCCCCTCCATAAAACACTGCTGCTTCTCAGTTTTGGATAAACTGATATATTCTTCCAGAATCATGCTCGTCATTATATTCATACTTAGACCTAAGGCCTGTATTTTAACACTGGGCGCAGGAGTTTCATCTCTAAGCAAACAGTATCTCAGCCCAGGAAGAGGAGGGAGTGGTATTTAAACCTGTGTTTAAATGTAATTTTAAAATGCTGCTGTAAACAGCAGCAAAATTAAAAATAAATTTGCACCAGATTCACTCTGTGTTTCTCTCCTGCTCTGGGGCTTCTGCTGATTCCCTCTGCAATCCAGGAAGGATCATCCCTTCCAGGCCCTTATTATACATAAGTTGATTTTAGGAGAGGAAAGAAAAAAAAAGAAAAAGGGATTTCTGCTTTCCTATGAAATACCACACCTAAAACCTGTATGTGATCTGGGGTTTATTTGTGATCCATGGGCATTACAGTTTTACTAGATACTTTATGGACTGATGCATTCTGAAAACAGCATTGAATTAAACAATCAGAATAGAAAGTTGACGGAGGGTTGTTTTTGTTTTGTTTTTTTTTTTTACCCTCCAGGCTGTGAAAACAGGGTTCAGGTTCAGCACCCCCCTTTTCCCAGAGGTATGTGAACTGCTTTCTGTGATCACCTGGGAATTTTCAACAGTTTGCCTGCATGGCAGAAACAAAGCACATAAAGCAGTGCCATCTCCACTTGGAACACCTCACAGTTGCAGCATCTGGCCTTTTATTGAATGTTACAGTATCATCAAGAGGGCAGAGCTTCACCTCTGAGACCAGAGCTTTGCAGGATCGGATGTGTGGAAAAGATGGTCCTCAGGCGTTCGTGAAATAGAGCTGAACTGTGTTGGTGCATTGCATTGCAAAGGCTTGGGCACAGCCAGCTCAATCATCTCTTCAGGTCTTTGTTCCTAAAAATGCTTTTCCTTGTTCTCCAGCTGCTCAAACACAAAACTTCCGGCACAGGTTAAAAATCATTCATTTTCCTCCCGAAGGCTTCTGCTGAAGCTGAGTTCCCTGAATGGCTCAGTATCAGGGAAGATGACCTGTAATGTGGGGAGTTTGGAAACAAACATTTCTCTTCGAATGGCAATCAATAGTATTGAAGGTGGAGCTGGCTTGCTGGAGACACCACTCACAAAATAAGTGTTCAGGAGTATCCCTTGTAGAATGCTGGTATCTGTTGGGAAGGCATTGTGTTTCTGTAATAGGGTCTTAATGTCAACATTTTAATTGATCTTAATCAGGTATGCCAAGTCCAGGATTCAGGTGCCAAAAAAGTGATGTTGCAGAGCTGTCCGATTAGCTGAGTTGCTCCTTTCGGTGCAGAAAGGGTTATGCTCCAACTGGAATCTGTAATTAACTCTGAGCGAGTAATGCTCTTGTAATATAGTGGGATTTAAACTTTAAGGGTTTGGATTAAATAGACCTGGAGCCAAACCATTCCTG